GGCTAATTCATTTCAATGTATGACAAAAACTACTGCAATGTTGTAAAGTAATTAGCCTCCAACTAATAAAAATAAATGGAAAAAAAAAAAGAAAAAAAAATTTCAGCTTCATTGGGAATCCAAAATATTCAAATTAAATAAGATATTTTCACCTAAAAAAAAAAATGTTGGCAAGCAGAAACATGCTTAGAAGAGAATGACCAAGATTGTGGAGGGTCTAGAAATGAAATAATGTTTGAAAAAACTCAGATGGTTAACCAGAAATAGACAGAACTTGGGAGCATGGGAAAACTGTCAAAGAGTACAGAAAATGCCCCCACAAGGACTCCAAAAGAAGAACTGAACTCAGTGGGTAACAAATGCAGAACAGATTACAGCTCAAAATATAAAAGGAGTTTCCTGATTTTATGATCCTTGTCAACCGAGAATAAAGCCTCCTAGATCAAGAATTTCTCTTGTACTATTGAGTTATGCATCTGCATATTTTACTTTTTACTCAGCAAGAATATTCCTGAATAGCTGTATATACATCAAAAGTGGTTATGAATCATCTTTTATCATTGACCTACATTAATCTGCTGAGAAGGCTCTAAATAATTCAACCCTGATTTTCCCAGGACCAGATTCAAGAGCCAAGGTGCTTACTGCCCAACTGTCAATGTCTCCTCATTTTGTCTACTCAAGAATGTAACCAGCTATTGTTCCCTTTCTTTTGTGCATCATCAATTTTCCCTCTATTCCAGATCAGTCTGATTAAAATTATATATGATCTATTCTTCCCATTCAAAAAACGAAACCCTTACTTGGTTCTATATCTTAACCTCCATTCATCACTCCATTTCTTTGTCCTCATCTACAGTTAAATTTTCAATGAGTGGTCAATATTCACATGCTCCAGATTCTTCTCTCCTATTCTCTCTTGAACACAATTCATTACCTGATTTCCCCTCTACTCCATAGACATCACTTCGGTTTCTTTCTCCAAGTTTCTCCATTTTGCTAATTTAATGCACAACTTTCAGTCCATCTGGTTTTGACTTATCAGCACTTAAAATATTGCATTCCTCCCTCCTTCTGGTCATACTTTCTCTGTTTGTCTTCCAGGACATCACACTCCCTTGGGTTTTCTTCTTGGTAGTCTCTTCAAAGTTAACTTGGCTCATTCCACCTCATCCTCAAGACATCTAAACAAGCCTCAGACCTTGCACTTTCTTCATCTTGACTTGCTTTCTAGAGTATACTCTCCAGTTTCAGGCCCTCATATACCATCCCTGCTCTGGCAAATCGTAAGTGTATACAGCTAGCCAAGATCTCTCCCTCTAATCCTTGACTTGTAGGTCCAAGTGCCTGCATACTTGACATCACCACTCGGAGGCTAAAGAGACATTTCTTACCTAACATGTCTAAAACTTACTTTCTGCTATTTCCCAGCCCACCCTCATCTGTGCCTACAAAAACCTCTCAATTCCAATTAATAGAGATTTACTTTTTCCAATTGGCAGGGTCATTCTGAACTCTTTTATCTCTCCCTTCAGATACTCTCTGCCAGACTGTTTTTAAGCTGGGACATCAGTCTTCTCTACTTGGACTGGAACTTAAACCATCTATTTTTCTGGTTCTTATACCTTTAGTCTTGAAACTTGAGTTTTCACCATTGGTTCTCCTAATTCTCAGACCTTCAGACTCAGGTGTGCCACTGATCATCCTGGGTCTCCAACTTGCAAGGATCAGCTCATGGGACTTCTTAAGCTCCGTAATCAATGGTGAGTCAATTCCTCAAACTAAACTTCTTGATATATAGATAGATAACAGATCCTACTGGTTCTGTTTCCCTGGAGAACACTGATTAACATACACACACATACATATGTACATATGTATACACACATATCACATATGTATATATGTATGCTTGCGTGTTCAGTCGTGTCTGACTCTCTGCAGTCCCATGGACTGTAGCTTGCCAGGCTCTTCTGTTCATGGGATTTCCCAGGCAAGAATAGTGTGGTGGGTTGCCATTTCCTTCTCCAGGAGATCTTCCTGACTCAGTGAGTGTACTCACATCTCCTATATCTCCTGTATTTGCAAGTTGATTCTTTACCACCAGCACCACATGAGAAGTATGTATACAAATTCAGCTGGCTCTTCCTTCTTCAAAAATCCAGACTCTGACCATTTTTCACCACCTCCACTTCTTGACTCAAGCCATCATACTCTCTTTCTGCATTATTGCAATGACTCCTCATCGTTCTCCTTCTCCCACCCAAGAACCTAGAGTGTCCTATAGATAGAAGTGAGAGTAAATGTTTAGAAATGTAAACCAAATCACATAATTCCTCAGCACAAATCCTCCATGAGGTTCTCATCATTCAAAATAGAAGCCAGAGCACTATCTGCAACAGCTAGGAGCTGGAAGCAACCTAGACATCCATTGGCAGATGAATGGATGATGAAGTTATGGTACATCTACACAAGGGAATACTACACAGCTCTAGAAAGGAACACTCTTGAGTCAGTTCTAATGAGGTGGATGAACCTAGAGCCTACTATACAGAGTGTAGTAAGTCAGAATGAGGAAGACAAATACGATATATTAATGCAGATATATGGAATCTAGAAGGGTAGTGCTGATGGTCCTATGTACAGGGCAGCAACAGAGACACAGTAGCAAAGAAGAGACTTCTGGACTGAGTAGGAGAGGAGAGGGTGGGATGATTTGAGAGAACAGCACTGAGACATGTAGAGAATGGATGACCAGTATGAGTTCAGTGCATGGAGCAGGGCAATCAAGCCTGGTGCTTGGCGACAACCTGGAGGGATGAGGTGAGGAGGGAGGTGAGGGGGGGCTCAGGATGAGAGGTACATGTGCTTACCTATGGCCAATTCATGTTGCTGCATGGCAAAGCCATCACACCATTGTAAAGTAATTATCCTCCAATTAAAATAAATAAGTAAAAAGCAAATAAAACAACCCCAAAACACTCTGAAAACAAAAACAAAAACAAAACTCATCAGAGAATAGGAATTAAAAAAAAAAAAAGAAACAGATTCCTTGGAATAGTCTCCTTACATGAACGGTCTCCACGAATCCTGAACCTTCAGGGTCTGCTCTACACCCTTCTCCATCCTCACTCACTCCTTGATGTTTTATGGATGCACCAAGAGTGCTCCATTTTGGGTTTTATGTATATTTTTCCTTTTACCGGGATAATTGTTCTTTCCCACATGTTCATGGCTGCTTGTTGCCTTCTTAAAGGCTGCACTCCAATGTCATCCATGTCCTCCTGGAAAATCTTTTAAAAATAGTCACATCTCTCCTGCCCCAGCAGTGCACTAGCCCACTTCCCTTGCTTTGCTTCTATTCACAGCATTGGCCACCATCTGGCATATTTTCTTTCTTAGTTTTTTTATCTTCTGTGTATTTCTCATTATATTATAAACTCGGTAATTTTTTCCCCCCTCTTTAGTCCTCTTCTCCATCTCCTGCACCTTGACTAAGCCTAGATTAGAATAGGTACACTTGGGGGAAGGGGAAAGGGCAGTTACGGGAACCCAGTGAAAGCCAAAGCTAGAGGGAAGGACTTCCCACAGAAGCTGCTGAACAAGGTCATTATCAAACTACTACTGGGCAGAGAAGGAACCACAGGAATAAATACCCTTCACCTCCTTTCCTTTGCTGTGTGCTGTGTCATGCAGTCACGCACGACTCTTTGCAACCCCAGAGACTGCAACCCACCAGGCTCCTTTGTCCATGGGATTTTCCAGGCAAGAATACTGGAGTGGGTTGCTTACTTCAGGGAATGAATCTTCCTGACCCAGGGATCAAATCCGTGTTTCTTGTGTCTCTTGCATTGGCAGGTGGGTTCCACTGCACCACATGGGAAGCCCCTCTCTTTCATTTACCTCTCTTTTTTGCTACTGCATCTCATTGACCACGTTCAACAAGAAGCCAGAAGATAAGGAGTCGGTCTGATGCAGTCCACTCAAGACTATTTCCCAAGATTCCTAGGGAGTAGACAAGAGCAGAGAGTGAATCCAAGGGTGTGAATAGAACACACCTCTAACAGTCAAACAATAGCAGTGAAGCAGAAAGAGAAGTGATGTCTTAATTTTAATTGTAAAACTCATTACTCATTGTTGTTTTTACCTAAATGAATTTCAGGTGCTTCTGTGATGGTGAAGAGGATTTGGCAAGGGGACATTGACCCAGAGGATGTTTGTTTTTCTGCCTTCATTTTCTTATCATCAGTGTCTTTCCAACAAGAATGATGTTGGAGAGTATCATTTGACTTGAAACACCTGTTCTAGAAGGAATTTTTGATGACTTGCTTAAATGCACACAGCACAATAAGTAGGAACATAAATAGACATTGGAGATGTACATTGCACTTAAATAGAGATGTGTTGAGCATGGGAAATCCTTTACTGGACTTTTACTGGATGTTTCTGGAGGGGAAAACTTGGGTTAATATTTAGATTTTACCTTTACTGTCTTTTCAAACAACATCAATCCCTCTGAAAAGGAATCTCACAAACCTACACATTTTTATCAAACTTGCAATCACCCGGGATCTCCTCCCTAACTATCTGAGGCTGGGTCACAGTGGCGTCTTCCATGTTCTTGACTTATTTGTAGCCGAAAGTGAAAGTGAAAGTCACTCAGTCATATCCAACTTTTTGCGATTTCTACAGGCCAGAACACTGGAGTGGATAGCCTTTCCCTTCTCCAGGGGATCTTTCCAACCCAGGAGTCGAACCCAGGTCTCCCTCATTGCAGGCAGATTCTTTATCAGCCGAGACACAAGGGAAGTCCAAGAATATTGGAGTGGGTAGCCTATCCCTTCTCTTTGGATCTTCCTGACCCAGGAATTGAACCGGGGTCTCCTGCATTGCAGGCAGATTCTTTACCAACTGAGCTATCAGGGAAACCCATATTTGTAGCTGAGACTCACTAAATCCCATGTAATAACAGTCTGATCACCAAAAACAGATCCTAAATGTAAATTAAATGTTTAGACTAAATTAACACCCAACATTTCTTCAAATTCAACATACCCTTACTAAATAGTTGTTAGGAAACATTATTGTCAATTATCATTTACTCAAACTCCCATTTTTCATATTAACGTTGTAGGGAAATTTTACATGCTGTTCTGTAGTAGGGTGTTTGTTGGTTCCTGGATGCGGTGAGCCTGGAAAAAGCTTAAAGGAGAAAAGAATATCTGAAATGCCCTTTTGGGATTCAGTTCTATCACTTTTGCTGGTAAATCCAAAATTTGGACTTAGTTAATAAGTTTCTCCGCACCTAATTTCTCCTCTGTAAAACAGGAATGGTAATACCAGCACTTAGTTTACTGCACCATTCCTTAAGGGTTAAGTGAGTTAACATCTGTGAAGTGCTTAGAATAGCACTTGGCACAAAGTAAGCACTATATAAGTATTTGTTGACTAGAATAAATAACCGTCTTTGCAACTTTCATTTTACACCTTTTTCCCACTGATTCGGCTGAAAAATAAATTTAAAAAGTGTTTAACAGCAGCTTTGGGGAATGATATAGTATGTTGTACAAGAGTATTTATCTTACATTCTATTCTATTCTGTAAGACTGCATGGCTTTCAGAGAATCATTTTTTTTTTAAATTCTAGTTTATAAAAGAAATAAATTAGGAGGCATAATAGGCAGGATAATGTGGACCCCCAAAGTTATTCATGTCCTAATACCCATAATCTGTGAATCTGTTTCTTTACACAGCAAAAAGTCCTTTGAAGGTATGAATGCATTGAATATTGAAGTAAAGAGGGTAGCCTGGATTTTATCCCCAGTGAACCAAACCTAATCCTTAAAAGGGGAGAACCTTTCCCAGCTCTGGTCCAAGGAAGACTTGACTATAAAAGAATAGTCAGAAAGATGTAACACTGTTACCTTTGAAGAAAGACAAAGAGGGCCATGAACCCAGGAATGTGAGTGGTCTCTAAAAGATGGAAAAGGCAAGGAAACAGATTCTCCCCTAGAAGTTCCAGATGTCTTGATTTTAGTTCCCTGAGACCTGTGTCAGACTTCTGAAGCATTACTGTAAGATGATATACATGTAATACAAAGTTTATAATGATTTGTTCTAGCAGCAAACAGAAGACCAATACAGGAGATGTTGTTTGGGTGTTAAGTCCTGTCTGACTCTTTTGAAGGCCCATGGACTATATCCCGCCAAGCTCCTCTGTCCATGGGATTTCCCAGGCAACAATGCTAAGTGGGCTGCCATTTCCTTCTCCAGGGGAATCTTGCCAACCCAGGGATCAAACCTGCGTCTTCTGCATTGGTAGGAGGATTCTTTACCACTGAGCCACCAGGAAAGATCAACCACTCCAGTGTTCTTGCCTGGAGAACCCCAGGGACAGGGGAGCCTGGTGGGCTGCCGTCCGTGGGGTCGCACGGAGCTGGACAGGACTGAAGCGACTCAGCATCAGCAGCAGCATATATGCACTGTACTTTATCTGGCAACATTACCTGTACTGGAACAATAACTATCACACAAGTGAACTCTCAGCGTGCATTTGAAATCAGGCTGATAATTGGGATGTCCTTTTAAATCCCAATGCCCAAACTCAATGATTTAATGATACTTTAATCATTATCTCTGAGGGTAGGACACAGACACGAATGTTTCAAGGCACTCAAGTGATTCTCAATGTGCAGGTAATAATTCAAACAATAGTTCTCTAACTATCTTGTGTGTAAGAATCACCCAGGGAACTTATAAAGATGCAAATTCCTGGTTTCATCATAAGAGATTCTCTGATTCAGTAAGATTGCAGGCAGATTCAAGATTTTCTGTCAACAAACATCCAGGATAATTTCTGTGACTCAATGAAAGATCTGTGACTCACAATGTAAGAAAAAAAAAAGCAAAACTAGACTTTCCGTCTCTGAACTTGTGCCCACAAGGTTAAGTACAGTGAAACTCACTGTGCAAGTTTTATGAGGATTATATGATTTATGCATACATACTGTAGAAATTACTAAACACAAATTAATGAAAATAGAAGACCGTCTAATTCCTTCTCTTCTCTCTTAAGTTTCACTACTGCCCTGAAGTTTTTCTTGATTTCTTTAGCTTTTTTGAATCCCATCTTTTATCTCTATATTCCTGTAGACCCAGGTGTTGATGCTATGTAGCTCTGTCCAAATTAAACATCATCTTAAACTGTTCTTTCTGATTTCAGGGAAGTCCAACTTGTCTTCCCAGTGGGTCCTGAGTTTTCTATTCATTGGTAGAGGTGACAGGGTCACCTATATTGTTGCTTTGTTTCATCACGTGATAAGCCTGAAAGCCTGGTATTTTTATCTTCATTTCTTAAGACAATGCCATGTCTCCATGTCAGTCCTACCAGGACTTTAAAGCTCAGAGTTTTCATGGAAGAGGCAAACACATGAAACTCAGTGACTTTCTGACTCCAGGCCAGATAGGATTTCTGAAACCAACCCTGCCTCTTCTGAAAACAAACCCAAGGCAGATCCTGTTTCTCTAAACCTTGGTGCCCTTCCGCTCACCCCAGCGCCTCTCAGTACACATGCCAGGCCAACAGCCCATTCCCATGGACTGAATAACCAACAGGATACGGAAAATACACTGAACCGGGAAGAAGGACTCTTTCCTCCTCTTCCTTGATTTTTGGCGCCTGCACTTTCAGCATTCCTGCCTGGAAGGACGTGAATGCAAGCAGGGAGGCCTCTGTCTTTCTACCCTGGGGCCGCCTGGGGTTTGTATGAATGGCTCATCCCCACTGGGCTTGTGAGTCAGGAAATTACAGGCTGCGGGGTCAACCAGGTCCTTTTGAGAAAAAACAGCTAACATTGTTCTGACCAGAGAATAATATCTATACCTGCCTGGAGAAACAATAGCTGACCTTATCACCCTCTTCCCTCACTGTACTAAAAACTGCGGCTTTGCACAGTGTAGGCAACTTACTCAGGTTTTTCAGTTGATATAAGGAGTTTTTAATGAGTGACTCCTCTTGGATTCTATGTGTGGTTTTCATTTCTCCAAAGTTCTCAGGTTCATATGCATTGTGTATGGACAGAAGCAAAGATTTGGGGTTAGAAAGATCTGGGACTTGAAGCCCTGCTCTGCTACTTCATAGGTGTGGCATATGGGAAAATGTCCCAGACTTTCTTGAGCATTCTGTAATCAGGGTGCACATCGGAGAATGCATTGATTGGTCTTTAGCCCTACCTGGAAACTGCAATTCTGATGTCTGTTTCTGTCACTCACGATGAAGAAGCCCCAGTGGTCTTCTCCCAGGACTCTTGATGGAGAACAGCCCACCTCTGACAAAAGACCTACAGGTCTAAGATACGTGAGGACAGCTACAGTGCTAACTTTGGGAAGCTAAGGCTTGTTGGCACAGCGACAAGCTCTTATGACACGTCTAACCAGCAGGGCTCATTTTCATGAGCCACCAGCTAAGTCACCCTGAGATATCTGGAAAGTGTCAATTACACCACACCTGTATCTGCGGTCACCTCTGTGTCATCGGAACACACCCCTGACATGAGTAGGGTGTGGAATACGCTAGAGGTAGTGACCAGGCCCAGGGAGGCTCTCTATCAAAGGGTGATGGGTCCAGACCCAGAGGTGACAGGCCTTGGGTCATAGAAGCAAGAAGAGCAGTGTGGCAAATGATAATTTAAAGCTAAGACTGAAGTCTGGCATACCCTTAGTGTGCATGCACGCTCTGTCATGTCTGACTCTTGGTGACGCTATGGACTGTAGCCCACCAGGTTTTTCTGTCCATGGGATGTCCCAGGCAAGAACACTGGAGTGGGTTGCCCTTTCCTACTCCAGGGGATTTTCCTGACCCTGGCACTGAACCCTCATCTCCTGCATTGGTAGGCAGACTCTTTATCACTGAGCCATCTGGAAGGCCCTGGCCTACCCCTAGAGCAAGTCTCTTTTCTGTAGCTCTCAATTTCATTACCTTGAATAAATGAAAATTATTTGCCTCACCAGTGGCTGTTATGAGAAGGGGTAGGATATTTGCCTCTAATCATTAAAGTTTCACGTAAAGCTTTCTACTCCAGGCATATCATAGCCTGCTTATGAACAGAGGCAGAATTCCCTGCCAAGGCATGAACTAGGTTGACAATAAGGGTTTAGTTTCAGTTTCCTCACCTCTAAAATGGCAATAAAATCTCAATATTCACAGTAAATATGGAAAAGAGACTGGTAATGGAAGAGAATCTGAAGCTATACACCTGAAACCAACACAATATCGTAAATCAACTGTAGTTCAATTTTTAAAAAATAGAACAGTTGTAGAAAACTATATTGTAAACTACAAAGGAACAGTGTGTATTGCTGTTTTCTTTTTCTTTTTTTTTTCTTTTTCCTTGTCTTCTATCCTATCATCTAGAGACTATGACATGCACAGTAGATCCAAAAAGGCAATGGGTCTAACTTTCAGAAACACAAAGAGGAAGCCTGATCAGGCAGGTGATAGAGGTAATTAGAATCAGTGTTAGGTAACCAAAACAAGTCTCAACAGGTGGGTCTGATGTTGAAGCATCAGCTAACTTCCCCAAGGCAGAAGATGTAGGGCTGGTCTGGCAACTGGGTCACAGGAATCAGGCTCCCAGTTTCTGTTATTTCATCACACTACAGGAGTCTTGTAATTAAGTGTGTCATTGGAGAAGGCAATGGCACCCCATTTCAGTACTCTTGCCTGGAAAATCCCATGGGCAGAGGAGCCTGGTAGGCTGCATTCCATGGAGTCGCTAAGAGTCAGACACGACTGAGCGACTTCACTTTCACTTTTCACTTTCATGCATTGGAGAAGGAAATGGCAACCCCCTCCAGTGTTCTTGCCTGGAGAATCCCAGGGACGGGGGAGCCTGGTAGGCTGCCATCTACGGGGTCACACAGAGTCGGACACGACTGAAGCGACTTAGCAGCAGCAGCACACTGTCATTGTTCATTTAATTTGTTCATTTTGCAATATTTAGTAAGCCTCCAATGTGTGTCAGGCCACATGCTAGGGATTTACAATACAGGGGTAAGCAATATCCTTTTCTTTCCTCTGTAGAACAGAAAATGTTAATAAAACAGACATTTAAAAAAAAAGAAATAATACAAATGTGAGATAAGTGTTTATTGAGGGCACATGTTGTTGCTCAGAATTTCTTTCCTGTAACTTTTATCACAGCATTAAGTTTGGATGGGTCTGGCCTACCTGCTACTTCCAGAGTTCATCCAGAAAGAGGAAGAACTGGATTATATTTGATTTATGCATCTATATATTGCTTTTCTCCTGAATCTATTGAGATTCCTCTAGGACTATAAGTTGCTACAGCCACTTGGCTTCTTTCCTTCCACACAGAGAGAGTCTGTCTGATTAAGGGAGGAGATATAGAGAGGGAGAAAGGAAGAACCTTATATTATAATTTGAGCTCCTGGATCAAGCCATGCCAGGAGCCAAAGGAATCCCAGAACCTTTCTCCTAAAATAGTTGGGGCTGGGTTTCCATCTTTTATAAGGCAATGAGATCAGACAGAGTAGTCACAGTGAAAATGCAAACTTCTGTGGGAACATGGAGAATCTGGGGGTCAGAGAAGTTGCCAGAAACAGAAAGCTTAGGGAAAGGGCTAATTTCCCAAGAGAAGAAATGAGAGAATGGTGAAGACTCAGATCTGAGGCAGGCATGGAGAGTTTAAAGACCTTTCAACTTATCATTACGGCTACAAAAAATGTGCATGCCGTGTTTGCATTGTGTGCATGTGTGTGTGTGTCTACTGGGGGGGTGGGGGGAAGAGAAAGATGAAGCCAGGGATGATTCATGGGGATTGGCCTCCACCCCTGTTACTTTATGGCCTGCAACATGTCACAGTTTCTTTCATCTGTGAATCAGAAATACTCATACCTAATTCATAGGGATGATGTGAGTTTTAAATAAGATTACTAAGGTAATGTATATGAAAGCACTTGTTCACTTGTTATCATTATCAGTTGCTATGTCATGTCTGACTCTTTGAAACTCCATGAACTGCAGCATGCCAGGCTTCCCTGTCCTTCACTGTCTCTCCGAGTTTGCTCAAACTCATGACCATTGAGTCGGTGATGCTATTCAACCATCTCATCCTCTGTTGCCCACTTCTTCTCCTGCCCTCAATCTTGCCTAGAATCAGGTCTGTTTCAGTGAATCAACTTTTCACATCAGGTGGCCAAAGTATTGGAGATTCAGCTTCAGCATCCATCCTTCCCATGAACATTCAGGGTTGATTTCCTTTAGGATGGACTGCTTTGATCTTCTTGCTGTCCAAGGGACTCTTCAAGAGTCTTCTTGAAAGAATCAATTTTTTGGCGCTCAGCCTTCTTTATGGTCCAACTCTCAGAGCCACATATGACTACTGGAAAAAAGGTTAAACAGAGAATCTGAACCCCCTCCAAAGCTACCATCTGCACTTGATGCCAAATTATCTAGAAATGGGAAGGAGATGCCCTTGACTATGGGCACCAGTTCTGTGAGCTGACTCCCCTAAATGGGAGAGACCCTGGGCAGGACATCAAGTGTCCTGAGATGAGTAGCATCTGAGCTGAGAGCACCTGGCTTAGGCCATACAGCAGGCAACCTGGGCTGCAGACCAACAGTTTAGCATCAGCAGAAGAGGTGTGTTAGTTACTCAGTTTCATGAGGAAAATTGATAGAGCTTATAATGCCAGACAGGCCACAGAAGGTTCCAAAGGGCTTTCCTGTATCAACAACACTGGGTGGAAGAAGTAACACAGCATACCATTCCCATTTCCTTTAACCAGATGGAATTACTTCCTTCTGGAGGAAAACAAGTCTATCCTATATACTAGGTAATGCTGATTAAAGTTCAAGGTACAATCCTGTCATACTGTAAGCAAGAAGATAAAGGTGATAAAGGTTAATATTACCATTATGTTATTGACAATTAGATGAAAGAATACCTTTGCAACATGCAAATATAAGGGCTCAGTGCCAAAAATGCATTAGCTCAATTTACTTACTGTCTAACATAAGCCAGGTCCATTTCGAAATGGTGGTTGTGGTTGTTCAGTTGCAAAGTCATGTCTGACTCTTTGAGACCCCTGTGGGGTAAAATAGTTGTACATACAATTATATAAGACCCCATGTAAATAGAAAGAATAAATAATCCCACAAAAACATTGTCTCTATTCTTACAGCTCTTATCTCCTCCTAGGAGAGACAGACAACAGAAAGCAAATAAATAAATATAGTCTCTGATGGACGTAAGTGCTCTGGGGAAAAATTAACCAGAGTGACAGGAGGTCACATTGGTGAAAATTGTTTTCGAAATGACTGTCAAAGGAGATCTCTGTGGACATGGAATCTTTGAAGGAGACAAGGGCACAGGCTCTATGAGGTCAGCATGATTAGAATTCAAGGACCCTGAGAAAATGCAAAGTCCCCGAGGCTGGGATAAGTCTTGACAGACTGGAGGAACTTGAATGTTAGCAGAGGAAGTGATAAAATGTCCAAATTGGTACTATATTTTGAGTTTGTAAGTGATGCTGAGTAGATCCCTGCGGGATTCCTGGGCACAGAGGCCTTACTGTTCCCCACTTCTTGTAGACAAGACTCCAGCCTACATGACATTCCCTGAGTTTCAAAGGACAGATTCAAACAAAAGCTAATAATGGAGGCGCAGCCACAAAACCACCTGAGGCAAGATAAAAGGGACTGGAGAAGCTCATCAAGATTAGGAGACCCTCAGTTCAGTTCAGTCGATCAGTCCTGTCCAACTCTTTGCTACCCCATGGCCTGCAGCACACCAGGCTTCGCTGTCCATCACCAACTCCCAGAGCTTGCTCAAACTCATGTCCACTGAGTCAGTGATGCCATCCAACCATCTCATCCTCTGTTGTCCCCTTTTCCTCCTGCCTCCAATCTTTCCCAGCATCAGGGTCTTTTCCAATGAGTCAGTTCTTGTCATCAGGTGACCAAAGTATTGGAGTTGCAGCTTCATCATCAGTCCTTCCAATGAATATTCAGGACTGATTTCCATTAGGATTGACTGGTTGGATCTCCTTGCAGTCCAAGAGTCCTCTCCAACACCACAGTTCAAAAACATCAATTCTTTGGCACTCAGCTTTCTTTATAGTCTAACTGTCACATCCATACATGACCACTGGAAAAACCATTGCTTTGACTAGATGGACCTTTGTTGGTAAAGTAATGTCTCTGCTTTTTAATATGCTGTTCTAGGTTGGTCATAGCTTTTCTTTCAAAGAGCAAGCATCTTTTAATTTCATGGCTGCAGTCACCATCTGCAGTGATTTTGGAGCCCAAGAAAAGAATTCATTTGAATCAGTTCTAATGAGATGGATGAAACTGGAGCCCATTATACAGAGTGAAGTAAGCCAGAAAGATAAAGACATGTGCTGGCAGGCAGGTTCTTTACCAGCTGAGCCCCTGGGGAAGCCTGACTATGTAACGTCTCCCTACTCACCAAGGAGGCTCAGATGGCAAAGAATCTGCCTGGAATGCAGGAGACCTGGGTTTGATCCCTGGGTCAAGAAGACCCCCTGCAGAAGGGAATGACAACCCATTCCAGTATTCTTGCCTGGAGAATCCCATGGACAGAGAAGCCTGGCAAAATATACCCCATAAGTTTGCAGAGTTGTACATGACTGAGTGGTTTTCACTATTCATTAAAGGAGGGGGTCACAGTTCTTGAAGTGCTAACCTACTGTGTTCCTCTTTTGCCTGGCAAAGGAATAAAACCATCTTTCCTTCTCCTCCATTATTCTGCTCCTCTATTTCTTTTCTGCATTGGTGCACAGAAAGCCAAGATTTTGGCAGCAGAACCAACAAAAATTGAAAATAGATTGGTAATAACATATAAGGAAAAGAGAAGAGAAATTGAATAAATGATGTTGTTATTTACCAAGATGAGGAAGATGAGAAGAGGAAAATTTTTGATATGTAAGAGTCCATAGTTTTATTTTGGACCTCTATTTATGCTATACAGGGTAAGGGTGACATGATAGTAGAGGTCAAGGTGAGATGCTGAGCCTGAGGCTCAAGGAAAGGATCAGCATTCAAGGGATCAGCATTCTCCAGGCAAGAAACTGGAGTGTATTACCTTTCCCTTCTCCAGGGGATCTTCCCAACCCAGCACTTGAACCTGGATCTCCCGCATTGTAGGCAGATTCTTTACCCTCTGAGCCACTAGGGAAGCAAGAATCAGCCTGCCAATAAAGGAGACTCAAGTGATGCGTGTTCAGTCCCTGGGTCAGAAAGATCCCCTGGAGTAGAAATTGGCAACCCACTCTGGTATTCTTGCCTGGAAAATCCCACAGACAGAGGAGCCTGGAGGGCTCCATTCATGGGGTTACAAAGAGCTGGACAGGACTGAGCACACAGAAGCTCCCCAGGTCTGTAAAGGCTTAGATAAGATCTCCCAGGAAGGAAATCTAGATAAAAGTGGGCTGACTAAGCAAAGGAGACAGAGAAATGGCCACTGGAGGAGGAGGAGAAATAAGAGAAGGTGGGATCCTGATGGCCAAGTGAAGAATATTTAAAGAAAGATTGGTTAAGGGTGTCCTATGCTGCTGAGAAGCTGACTACAAAGAGAACTGGAGAACTGACCTTTGCATCATTGGCGGGAAGGAAATTGTTAATGACCTTTACAAGAGCAGCTTCAGACAACAGTGGTAGTAAGATAAGAAGGGACCAGAAGTGAGAGAATGAACTCAGCAAATAAATGTGCTGAAGACTTTTGCTACATGACAAAGCAGAAAAATAGGGCAGTGGTGCAGGAAATGGAGGAACTAGTGAGAGGTGAAGGTTCTTTAGGGACTTTGTGGCTTTTTGAGATGAGAGGTAGAGAATAAATTAATAATTCAGTAAACAAGAATAAATCATGACGAAGGAGACAATTTCAGTGGGGAAAATAAAAACTCGTGAAAAGGAAAAGTAAACAAGTCCCAGTTGTTGACTACAAGTTGACACCAAGGGCATTTGCTCTCCGCCTCTGTGGAGACTGAATCCTGCGGTGCTGTAACTGTGGACCGTCCACACACCCTGAAGGGCATTTGCTCTCCGCCTCTGTGGAGACTGAATCCTGCGCTGCTGTAACTGTGGACCGTCCACACACCCTGAAGGGCATTTGCTCTCTGCCTCTGTGGAGACTGAATCCTGCGCTGCTGTAACTGTGGACCGTCCACACACCCTGAAGGGCATTTGCTCTCTGCCTCTGTGGAGACTGAATCCTGCGCTGCTGTAACTGTGGACCGTCCACACACCCTGAAGGGCATTTGCTCTCTGCCTCTGTGGAGACTGAATCCTGCGCTGCTGTAACTGTGGACCGTCCACACACCCTGAAGG